CCCCGCCACCCGTCTTGCCTCTTGAGCCCAGTGGGCCCTTCCCACTGATACCTTCACACAAGCTGTTCGTTTGGTCACCCCCTTCCCATCCTTCCCTTGGGGGGGTGGAGACCCCTTGCGAGAAGGAGGGGACTGCCTCTTTGGCTCACCCGTCAACTCCCTCTCTGGGTGGGATGTAAACACCACAGTGTGGCTTACTCACACTGAAAAGAGTTCCTGGCTTGGTGTCTAGCACATAGTAGGTGCACAGAGAGCATCTGGGTAGAAGAAATAGCTCTTTTGGGGACTGGAAATGCAGGGGTGAGATTTTAAGGGTCCTTCAGAAAAGATCTCACTATAAAACATGACAGCAACTTTTCAGAGTTTGAAATGCCCCCTGCTTTGGGGAATAGCAGTTTAGATGTTTCTTGTTAAAGGGCAATAGTTTGCATGAGTTCATTTGACAGATAAAACTAGAGATCCACAGACTCTTCTGTAAAGGATTGGAGAGTGAATTTTGTAGGTTCTACAGGTCATGGTCTCTGTAGAAACACAGAGGAAGCCATGGACAGTGCATAAGGGATGGATGTGGCTGTGTTCCAATAAAACTTTATTGACAAAAGCAAGCTGTGGGCTTGCCCCACAGCCCTATTTGGCTCACCCCTAGATTAGTCTAAAGGTAGCAAAGTCACAAGAGGACACATAGTAATGACCAGTTTTTTTCAGTGTTCATCAAATATGTACAGCAGGTACTTGGAAATATCACAGACTATAGTGGTGCCTGTGTGCGGTAGTATGATAAAACAGAAGAAAGCTAGAACACCTTGAATTTACTAGGAATTACTGTTTCACAGAATAAAAAGCATTTTGACTACATCATTCTCACACCAGCACTGTGTTCACACAACTGGGGAATTCTAAGGTCCTGGGGGCTGCCCAAGGCTCACTTAGGTGTTGAATGTGTGGGTGGATGGATGAGAGGAGACAGTGTTTTTCAGGGTGATTACGAAAGTAGGCTTGGTCAATAACTGGATAAGAATCGTCAACTTGGGAGTCCCAGGAATGAGAAGAAGTTGTCAGACCTTTGAGACCCAGGGAGTGCGGGGGTAGGGGCAGAAATGGGCACGATAAATTTGGTGGATGTAAAAAAAGAAAGAAAGAAAGAAAGACAACACAAGGACAGAACAGAAGCAGTCTTTTCAACTGTACATCCACATGTAAAAAAAAAAAAAGGATCTAGATACAGACCTTACAAACTTCCCAAAAATTAACTCAAAATGGATCACAGACCTAAATGTAAATGCAAGCCTATGAAACTCCTAGAAGATTAGGAAGATTAGGCATCTCCTCAGGATGCCTAGATGACTTGGGTGTAGTGATGCCACACTTCGTGAAAGAAGTAGCTGGTGGGCTAGACTTCATTAAAATTGAAATTCCTCCTCTGCTAAGTCACTGCCAAAAGAATGAGAAGACAAGCTACAGAGTGGGAGAAAATATTTGGGGAAGACACCTCTGATAAAGGACAAAGAACTCTTAAGACCCAACAATAACAAAACAACCCAATTATAAAGTGGGACAAGGACCAAAACTGACATCTCACCAAAAAGAATGTACAGGAGACAAATGAGCATATTAGAAGACACTCCACATCACCTGTCAGCAGGGAAATGCAAACTAAACAAGGTAAACTATGCACTGATTAACACCATCAAATGCTGGGGACAATGTGGAGCAACAGGAACTCTCATTCACTGCGGGTGGGAAAGCAAAATGGTCCCGACCCTTTGAAAGACAGCTCGGCAGATGCATACAAAACACAACACCATTACCATGAGATCCAGCAATAAGACTCGATGGTATTTACCCCAGAGTTAGAATCCTATGTCCACACAAAAATCTGCAGGGTGAAGACACCCTTCTCAAGAAGGTATGGCCTGTGTCACTATACACTTGTTTCATTATTGTAAGAACTGTTCTCACGTTAAATAGACTAACCATTATTTGTACAAGAAACAACCTCTTGCAGAAAGCTGTGTGAAGAATGCACTGACTTCCTATACTATGATGGTGTCACTGGCCAACAAGTCACCCAAGCTAGAGAGAAGGAATAATTCTAGATGCATAATAAACATTTAAAGCACTTAATAGTGCCTTAAAAAGACTGAAACCCAAGCCCCAGCTCTCCTCGGGACACCAGCCCTGGTCCTGAGCATGGACAAGTGGAATGGCACTAGCAGCCTGGTCTTCAGGAAGATGCACAACTGGTTCCTGGAATTTTAGTGTTTCCCTTAGCAGCACCACTTAGATCCAGCTACGGCCAAGAATCACCAAGCCCACCTATGCGCTAAGCAGTCTCATTGGCTGTCCATGAAAGACTTGTTATCTCCAAGCCACGGAGTGCTGGCACCACAGCATCCAGAGCACAGGCAATGTAGCTGCCAGGGCAGGGGCGAACCCCAGCCCTCTGCTTCCACCTGAGGGTCTTTGAGCAAGTTAGCAACCCCCCCCCAGAGCCCCTTGTCTGTAAACTGGAGACAATGCGTGTGTGGTTGTGGGGTCTCATGGGATTGCTCAAGGAGGGACTGGAAGGGGCACAGGAGGCACTAAGCAGCCATCACCTACCACCATTTATTGGTAAACCACCTACTGCTGCCATTACCCTTCCTCCTGGACATGAGGAACAGCAGCTTTGGGGATGGTGTATGATGTCACTTGAGACACCACATATTCCCAATTTTAATCATGTCCAAGGACAGGCAAGCTGGGAGTAGCTCTGGGCAGAGTAGGGGTACAAAGTCACCACGTAACTCTAGCCAGGCTGTGCATGCTCAGCCTTAGTCTCCACCATCCCCACAGAGGGGACTGCTCTCCGGTTTGCAGGACTTGAATTTCTAATGTGGATGGACTCTCCTGGCAGGGAGGATTCAAGGGAGACGAAAGCTCCCACCTGTCTCTTCAGAAACCCCCAAGAACATCGCTGCCTGTCCCTCCTTGAAAGCCAGTTCCTACGCTAGGGTCCTCTGACCGGGGGCTCAGTGCTTAGACAGTGGCCAGCGGCCCCGGGGCCCCACACCTCCTGAGGGCTGAGTGTAAGTGCTGGGCCTGGGGCTCAAGGCCACAGAGCAGATGGCACACCCATGTTACACGCCCAAAGCCTCGTCCCAGCAGCCGTCCTGTGACCAGTGCCTGGCCCAGCTATGTGGCCCTGCTTCCACGTCTGCCCCAGGGCTGCGGTGTAGCCGCAGAAGCCAGAAACACCAGACGCGGCACCTACTTCTCTTCACAAAGCTCCTTCACAGCTCTGAACTGCTGTGGAGGCTGTGTTTCCTCACCTTTGGGTCCCTGCTGACGGATGCCAGGAAGGGAATCATCTGAGCTGCTTCTATCCTTATACTGAGACTTTTTAAAGCCCCCACTGCCTGGCACTTCCTGTGAGTCACTCGCACAGACCCGACGCTACTACTCCACCAGACGCTGACCGCCAGCCCTGCATGCGTCCTTGCAGCCGCCCGCGTAGGGGAACAGCTGAGGGGGTGAAGAGCCCGAGGTCACGGCAAGTGAGTGCCATGCCTGACATCTGAACCCCCATTCTGGACCCTGGTTCTGCACCCCTCAATCATTCACCTCCTTCTAGATGAAGAGTTTCAAGGAGGAGGACGGGAGCTGTGCGTACACAGCGTGGAGCAGTGCAGCAAGAATCAGGGCTTCTATATTCAGAGAGACAGAAAAATTGTGTTTATGATACCAACCAGAGAAGGCAAGGACCAGCCATCGTCTTGGCAGAATCTCCATTCTACTTCTCTGGCCCCCAGGCACATTTACAAGACTTTTTCTTACACCCTTGGCTTCTTCACAGCCTGGCGTGTGTGTGGCGGCGGGGCGGGGTAGGGGGAGGCTTCTCGATTTCTCTTCTGCACCCTCCTAACTTCCTTCCTGCAGGCCAGCCACCCCCAGTGTTCTCCAATGTTCCCCTGTTTCCTCTGGAGTCTACCTGCCATTGTGGGAGCTGAGGGGGCCCAGAGTTGCTAAGTTCTTGTTTCCTCAGAGGTCTCACTTCCAGCCCTAGCCAACAGCAATTGCTGATGAGAAGCAGGCAGGCCAGGAGTGGCAGGGTGACCCAGGAACAAGAATAGCTTCATCTTTCTCACTTCCACAAGAAAAAATGAGCACAAATATGAAAACTAATGCCACCGACCTTCAGCTCAGAGACGATAGGGAATGGTGAAGACTGTGGCCAAACAAGTATCCTTAGACGGGGTGGCTACACAATGGCTCCATGAAATACTGTGTATGCAAGTCCAGGGTTGTCAACTTTCCATGGTTGTTTCAACTTTCCAAGGGATGTCAGAATCACATTTCTTTTTCCATGTGAAATCTAATTTCTAAATGTTGGCAACTAATTCCTTCCTTCCTTTATTTTTTATTTTCAAATAAAACACAAGTGAGCTGCAGTGGCCCATAGGCATCATGTTTATAACTTCTGTGAACCCTTATGGCACACATGACGCTCACCCAATGCCCCCACAAATGCCCACATTTCTGACCTGGGTAAGCCAGGCCTAGGATTCTGACTGAGAAAGGAAAAGCCACGCTAACTTCCAGGCCAGGGCAGTTAGGCGCTGGCTGTCTCCACCGCTTCTCTTCCCTGAGGAGGCTCCCGCCACATGGTACAATCAGCACAGCGAGGCGACCCCAGGGAAGCCCCCCGTCCACAAACTCAGGCAAAGCACACCTGGGGCACATAGCATAACTAGGAACTATCCAGTGAAGTAGTTTCGCACGCCCCCGGCTCTCAAGGCACCTTCGCTCCCCTTTTCTTGTCCAGTGTGCATCTCAGTAAGAAGCCAGGACAAAGCTTTGTCAGCTCATGTTGGAGCAAAGAGAGGCTCAGAAGTAGAAGAGGGGAGCCCTGAGGTGTGCGGCAAAGAAGTGGTGAACTAGGACGCCTGCCCTGGAGTGCTGTGAGGGCTCCCCTGCCTCCAGCGCCAGCCGGCCTCTGCAAAGCATGTGCTGCCTCTCACCTTTCCCGTGGACTTGGTCCCCTTCCAGATGCAGAAGTAGCAGATAGTCCAGGCTGCCAGGAGACACAAGGCCAGCTCCCCGCGGAGGTTCCCGATGTGCTCGATCCCGTCTGAGATGGCCAGGACCCGGCGCCTGTGGGCGGGAGAGCAAGAGTCAGGGGGCTGGAGACGGCTCCTGGATCCCCACAGCGGGCACAGCCCGGGCTTCAGAGGGGCAGGGATGGCCTCTCACACAGGCCCCACCTCCCACCAAGCGTCTTCTCTGAGTCAAAGCCCGGGTGGGGTGTGAGGCCTTAGAGAGGAGACAGCCACAGTCTTGCTCTCATGGGTTCACCCCACGAGGGTGTGATGGGTGGGTCAGCAGATGGTTCAGGGTACAGTGTGGAAGGGATATGATGGGAGACACCCAAGCAGCACCCAGCACACCTCGGGGTGACAGGTGACAGCAGGATACCCCACGCACATTCCAGGGCCCTCCCACACCCAGGCCTCTGAACTCAAAGCTGGCCCTGACCTTGCTTTGGCCGGTGGCACTGGTCTCACTGCACAGCAGCCCTCCCAGCCAGGCAGTGAGGGCACTACCATGGCTTCCATGAGAGAAGAAGGTGTCAAGGTGGAGACTCCAGAAGCCTGAGCTCCCAAGGGACCGCAAGAGCCCTCCTGCCACCCTTGTCATGTGATGTCATGCCATGTCATGTGAGCAAGAAACACATGTTATTGCTTTAAGCAACTGAGATCTTTGGGGGCATTGTTACTGCAGCCTCACTTGCCCTGTCCTAACCACTCCAGGTGCTGGGGCGAGCTCCCTGGAAGAAGGCACATTCCAGCCAACCTGGGAGGATGAGGTAATATAGGCAGGAGTGGGAGACAGTAAAGACTGGTTTTGGTCGAGGTAACAAAGGGCAGACAAGAGAGTTGGGGCACCTGGGAACACTGGTAACAGGGACCAAAGGGAAAGACAGGACAGGTAAGCAGAGGAGGCACCAGTAGCAGCCTTGAATATCATGCTCAGGGCCCAAGCCATAGCAGAGGGGGACCCCCATGCGTGCTGAGTCGATGCCTCCAGACATTCCCCCTCTCCCCGCAGAAACCACCTGTTCTCCAGGGTTGACACAGGCCTGCCTCCCAGAGCCCATGCTTGGGGCTGGTGATACTTTAGAGTCAAACGTTCTATGCTCCACATTGTATGGAGGCCACGGCCCTGACACTGCCCCCCCCCCACCCCGCTTGCTCCATGAGTCCCACAGACTCTGGCTGCCAATCCCCCTGCACCATGCCAGTAACCTGGGTAGCTTGCAAAGTGAGTGCTTTGAGAAAGCAGGCCCCACCCCACCAAGCATGAGCGACTCCCTCAGTATCTGTCTCCCTGAGAATCCACTCAGGCCCGAGTCTGCATTAACTACTCAGTGACACCAACTAGCACTGGTCTCCAGCCCCAGCCCTCGCTGGGGAAGTAGGCAGGCCCCCAGACAAAAGTGGGCTATGTGCGGCTATGAATTTACTGGAAAGAAAGCCAGTGAGTCCTGTTGACAAGAAGGGGAACATCCCCTTAAATACATATTTACTGAACACCTACTATGTGCCCAGCAGGGTATGAGATACTGAAGATAAAAAGGCATATAGGGGGCCTCCCTGGTGGCGCAAGGGGTTAAGTACCGCATTTTGAAGCAATCTGCAGCCTCTGCAGCATGAGTTTGATCTCTGGCAGGCCAGGGAGCTACCCACCTGGTGCAGCAGACCTCTCCTGTCTCCCCGCTGCTCCCCTCAGCAGTGGATTTCAGTCAGTCTGCCTGTTCTGCTCCCCACTCTGTCTCTGGTGAATCCTCTCAGCCCCACACCTCTGGCCTGTACCCCAGGTCTTGTATGCATAAATAAAAAAATCTTAAAAAAAAAAAAAAGGCATACAGGTAGATAGGATGAGAGGCAAAAGGCTCTCATCCTGGAAGAAGCCGGGCAAAAAAGAAGTCCAAGTTAGCTGAGAAAGGCACGATGTGGAGTTATCTCCAGCCTTGCTGGATTTGCTGCTCCCATCCTGTCTCTGGCTTTGACGCACTTGGAAACTATAGGCCTTATGAATCGAAACCTGGAGAACCCCTATTATTATAACAGAGAAGTGGGTCCCAGCATGGTCCTGCGCCCCATGCTGGGCCGACTGAGTCTGAATCTCTGTGGACTGGCTCCTGGCTCCCCAGGAGCTGCATTCGCCATTTCCCCAAGGGTTCCTTATGTGCCATGGACTTTGGGTACCACAGAAGGAGGGTTTCCTGGCAGTGCAGCAATTACCTAGAAACTCCACCCAAATACATACATACCTATCTATCTATCGATCTATCTTCCCCCTCTGAGGGGAGGAGGTCATGGGTCCTTTGAGAATTATTTGAATATTTTCTCCCCAGAGGAATTCCCTGATGCATTCACTCACTCCCACAATTCTGCAGGGACCTTTGGGTGCTCATTGAAACTCCCTTGTCTCCAAGTAAGAAGCCTGGAGCTGACATATAATTCCCACCTTACAAACCGTCCCCCTGCACCCTAAGGTCCCAAAGGCCATGGGCGGGTGGATAAGGACAGCCCAGAGCAGGAGCGGACACTGCAGGGGAGCCGGCCCAGCGCCCGGCCATCCCTCCGCCCTTAGGGAGACGCTTCCAGCAGCCCCCCAGCTGGCAAGGTGCGCATGCACACGCCTTCTTGTTGATGTCGTTGTTTTCTGAGCGAGCATCTGCAAACTGGAAAGCACGCGGGGACAGGGGAGAAGCGGGGGCAGACCTCCAGGAGGAGCTGGCTCGGGTCCCCTCTCCTCCACATTTTGGATGCTGCAAACTTTTGAGTCATGCAGCCTGCTTCAGCGCCCTCTCGCTTAATTGAACAATCTCATTCCCAGAATGGGAAGCAGATTACCAAAAGCTATGCAGGATGAATTGCTCTTTTGTTCCACCAGACACTATTTGAAAACATCCTAAACTATTTTCTTAGGTTTTACCAGCACTGACTTGAACTAGAGCAGGGACCTTGGGTTTCTAAAAAAAGGGGTCTTGGGGGCCAGGTCCTCAGCCTGCAGGGCTGTGGGGTTGTTTTGAAACCCACAAGGGCTGCTTTGAGTGCACAGGGCTGGAGCGCTCAACTCCAGAAACTTGGAGAAGGCACCACTCTTCCTGGGAAAAGCTTTTTTCACGGCCCTGCCCCGTGAAGCTGGAACAGAAGAAAGGTCTGAATAAGGAAGAGTTCCATGCCAATACCCGGGCCAGAGGGACCCAGGGACAGACCTCCCGACATGGTTGGGGGGCAGGCTGGTGAGGACTGTTCCGAGGGCCTCACTCACTAGAGCTACACTGTCCACCTCTGAGGACTCAAGCATCAAAGCAGACTTCCTGAAGCATCTTTCACAGACCCTAAGAGCTGCATATTCTAGAGATTTTCTCAGAGCTTGCAGGCACAATGCCTCTGCCTCTCTAGCCTTTGGCACAGCCAGAGGTGGGCTGGGTACAAATCCCAGCTTGCTCCTCACCAGCTGTGTGGCCTGGGGAAAGGGACGTCGTCACCTTCTCGGAGTCTCAGTCTCATCTGTAAAATGGGAACGACACCTCCCTTCTGTGGGCTTTCAAGCATGAACTCATCAGCCTTCCCATGGTCCTTGAAGTAGGTACATTCATCCTTATCACTTTAAAGAAGGGGGAAACTGAGGTGCAAAGAGGCTAAGTAACTTGCCAGAAGCCACACCATGAGCAAGTGACAGATCTTGGATCTGAACCCGGGATCCTGGCTCCAGAGCCCATACTTACAGCCTCAAAGCTGGTGTCTACCTCCGCCCACGCCAGGGCACCGCCTTCCTTTCTCTATAATTTAAAGCCTCAGTAGATGCAAGCCCCAACACAAACTCTTCCACGTGCTTTTGTCGCTGGCACAAGGGGGAGAAAGCGTGTGTCTGTGCATTTGTTAATTTTTCAAGTCATGCTAATTAGAGTCTTCAGTGGGCCAGGTACTGGGCTCAGCATGGGGGTCTTTGTGGGAAGGCAGGTGAGGAAACAGGGCAGGGTGTGGAGCGGTCGTGCCAGGGAACAGCGGGACCCTCCCTAAACACTTGGCCACTCCGAGGATGTAGAGCTCGGGGTGAGGCAGGTGGCCCTGAAGGGCAGGAGAGTTGTGAGCGAAGAAGAGGGGGTGCCTGGGGCAAAAAGGCCACCAAGGACAAAAGTCCGGAGGTGGAAGGCAGGCTCAGAAAGGCGGGGGGCCAGCAGGGGAAGTGGTGTGACAGGACCAGGGTGGGGAGGAGGGGAGCCAGGAGAGGTGAGCACAGGCCAGACCTTGAGCTTTGCTGAGGAGCTGGGGCTTCATCCCGAGGACAGAAGGGGGCCCAGAATAATCTTAAGCTGGGAGAGATCCCAACAGATGCACATGTGGGAACTCTCTTTGGCTGCAGCAGGGAGAATGGAGATGAGCGTGAGCAGGGCAGAGCACCTGGTGCAGAGAATTCTGTCTCCATTTGAATAAGATATGGGGCCTGGGCTAAGGTAGGGGAATGACCCTGGTGGGTAGGGGAACAGGTGGGTTTCAGAGCAGCAGAGGGGAGGTAGCAGCAGAGGCTGACACCCAGGTTTATACCTGGATGGATGGAGCAAGAGTGAGCATGGGTGAACTGGCAAGTGGGGTAGAAGAAGAGGAAGTGGAGAAGCAATCATCTAAACAAGATGATATGGAGGTATTTGGGGGACACCCCCATAGCTGCAATACCCAGAAGCCACAGGGTCTCTGGAAGCAAAGTTCAGAAAGAAGATCCACAGGGAAGACAGGGAGTGTGCGGTTGCCAGGAGAGCTGGAGAAGATGGGGAGGTGTCCTTGAGGGAGGTGAGGGGGACAAAGAAAGGCAGGGGAGCAGCAGGGGCTTCACCCACTGAAAGGGGAGGCAGAGCAGCCTAGTGAGAGGTGAGAGGATTCTGGACAAAGGGAGGGCGAGCCAGGGGAGCCCCTGGTGCAGGCCCCATGGGGAGGGCAACTTAAGAGGGCCGGGGTGGGTGGGGAGCAGACCAGGGGAGGTGAGATGCCCCAACTCCCGTCAGAAGACCCGGGAAGTTCAGCTCTGCCGGCAGCTACAGGGCCGCGGGAGCAGCTGCCTCACTTACACTGGCGTGGTTTTCC